TGTATATTGGGTAGTTTATTCTTTTTAATTGGCCCTCAAAGAACCAACTTTTATGTATGGCATACACAAACTAGTTTATCCATTCATTTGTTGAGGACATTTGAGTTGTCTGTATTTTTCTATTACAAATAAAGCACTAACACTTTGAACAAGTCCTTCGGTGAACAAATGAATCATTTCCTATAGAATTTCTGGTTATAGGGTAGGCCTATATATTGTTTAATTTACCTCTGTGGTATTTTTAAAAAGTAATTATCCATAATATCAGCTCCAATCCCCACCAGGTGGTCAGCATAAAGAACATGATCCGTGTTGGCCACCCAAAGTGTGCTGGGATTACAGGTGTGAGCCACCATGCCCAGCGATTGATTATATTTGCTTGGATTTCTCTCTCTCTCTCTTTTTTTTTTTTTTTTTAAGACGGAGTCTCATTGTGTCACCCAGGCCAGAGAGTGCAGTGGTGCAATCTTGGCTCACTGCAACCTCTGCAGGTTCAAGCGATTCTCTTGCCTCAGTCTCCCGAGTGGCAGTGATGGGTCACCACACCCAGCTAATTTTTTCTATTTTTAGTAGAGACAGGGTTTCTCCATGTTGGCCAGGCTGGTCTTGAACTCCTGGCCTCAGGTGATCCTCCCACCTTGGCATCCCAAAGTGCTGGGATTACAGGTGTGAGCCACCACACCTGGCCTCTTTTTTTCATTCCATTCTTTCTTTCTTTCACTTTCCAATAAGTTTTATTATTAGTCAAGTCATGATTCAGGGTCCCAGGGTGGGGATCATCATGTATCCAGGTCCCCTTTTACTGCCCTGGGAGAAGGATGGAGGACAGAGGAAAGGTGGGGTGCTGCCAGTTCAGATCTTCCCAGGAAAATGTGCCTTCTGCCCAGTGTTTGTCCCAGGCTGAGACTCAGGATATGGGAATGAGGGACTTGTACACAGGCTGGTACCATTCACACACAGAGACATTGTCCCTTTTAGCAATCATTGCCTTCTCACAGAGGTGGAAGTCCAGGTAGTCCTGCAAGCAGTTCCTGGGCTGGTTCTGGTTGGGGAAGCTGCTGTCAAAGGGAGCAGTCTTGTAGGGGATTTTTGTTTGTTTTTGAGATGGAGTCTCGCTCTGTCACCCAGGCTGGAGTGCAACGGCACGATCTTGGCTCACTGCCACCTCCACTTTGCGGGTTCAAGGAATTCTTCCGCCTCGGCCTCCTAACTAGCTGGAACTAAAGGCACCTGCCATCATGCCCGGCTAATTTTTGTATTTTTGTAGAGATAGGGTTTTACCAAGTTGGCCAGACTGGTCTGGAACTCCTGACCTCAGGTAATCCACCTGCCTTGGCCTCCCAAAGTGTGCTGGGATTACAGGTGTGAGCCACCATGCCCAGCTGGTCTTATAGTTCTTGATTTGGGTGTTTTTTTCTTGTTTGTTTGTTTTTTAGTTAGGGTCTCACTGTGTCACCCAGGCTGCAGTGCAGTGGTGTGATCTTGGCTGACTGCGGCCTCAGCTTACTGGTATCCAGTGATCCCACTGTCTCAGCCTCCCACGTAACTGGGATTATAGGCATGTGCCACCACGCCCAGCTAATTTTTGTATTTTTGGTAGAGACGGGGTTTCACCACGTTGGCCAGGCTGGTCTCAAACTCCTGGCTTCAGGTGATCTGCTCACCTTGGCCTCCCAAAATGCTGGGATTACAGGTGTGAGCCACCGTGCGCTTAAAGAC